ATGCTTGAGTAAGAATTGGAAAAGGCATCACAATTAGTGAAAACCTTTGAACTCAATATAATTACTCGGGTTTTATTGGTCGGGTCTTGCTAACCCCAAGACATTGGACCTAGTCGGTTTTGTTGGTGCGGGTGGACTTCGTTGGAGGTCTTCATGTGAGCGGGACTTGAAGCTTTCAAGTAAGAGCTCATTTTGGAGCGAAGCACGCATCAAAGGTAATTAGATTATCTTAATCTCGTGATTAATTTAATTATGTTTATGGTTTTATTTATTGCGAGTGCGGTCTTGTTTTTGGGTTTGTTTCCGCGGTGAGTCAGACTCACCAAACCCCAACAGATAAAACAATACTCCCTATAACAACAACATTAAAAATCCTAGCAATAACACAATCAATCAATCCGACAATTAAATCATATAATACCACACACTAATCATATACAAATAAATCATGATCATATATAATTCACAAATTATAAAATTTACACATAACAATACGGGGTACAATTAATAATAACAATTTATAATCAAACAAATCAAAAAAATTAATTAAGATAGGGTGATTACACATAATAAATAATACAATCAAATTAATCAAACATCTCCAAATTGATAGAGTGTGATTACCTTGTAGATCAAAGTAGTTGATTGCACAATCAAACTTTGTGAACCAAATTGAAAGTATTAGCAAAATAAATGTTTTCCAAAAATATGGGTGAATAAAATGAATCAAAGCATAACAAAAATATGAATAAGGATAAAGATGGATAAAGATGGGTTTGATTTAACCATATTTTTTAAAATTATAATTATTTTTTTTTTAAAAAAAAACAAAACTTTTTTCATTTTGTTGTTATTAATTTATAATTAAAATATTAAACTCTTTTTTTTAACCTTTAATTATCTAATACTCAAAGATTAGCTCATATATTCTTGTTTTTTATATATTTTTTAAAATAAAACTGTAGTATAAAAATCATAAAATGTGGTTTGCAATGCGGTTTGGTCCAATTTTTTTTGGAAACCGGTCTAAATCGTGAGTCATTTTCAAAAACCGCACCTCAATTTTCAAACAGCAAATCGCACTCTGTGCAGGCCTAACTTTAGCTTATAAAAAAATGGACGAAAATAAGAACTTTAGCTTATAAAAAAAATGGAGGGAGTAATTTATAATGTGGTATAAAATAATAATAATAATTCTTACCTTTTTTTTTTTGTCTGTGGGTTGGGGGGAGTTGCTTAGGACCCTGTGGGTGGTAAATTAGAGTTACATGCTACGTACTAACATTTGTTGCTCAAGTAGTCGAGCCAGGTTATACTTTTGGAGGAAATACAAGTTTATCCTACAATTTTTATTTAGTGGCAATTAGGTAAATTAATTACTTTAATATTCATACCACCATAATAAAATAAAAAAGAAAAGCAAATTTTGTTGGATATTTATTTTCCTAATTATATTTTGTATATTAATGAAGAATAATGTATCTATATATACAATAACAATGTAGAGTATTGTCGTATGGCTATTTGTATGACTATTTTCATTGGTAATTCTAATGTGGGTAGTTGTATTGATGAAGTACGAGTGTTATTTTATCCACACAATAATAATGTAGAGTAGTCGTATGGATATTTGGATTGTATGTTTGGATTACTGTAACTTTTCATTGGTAATTTTAATGTGAGATAGTTGTGTTATTTTTATCAACTCTTCATTAGACATAATGAATAGTTGTGTTATTTCAGTATTTGCCCCTTTTTATTCATGTTTAGGGCTCGTTTGGTTGCCATAGGAAATTTGGGAAATTACAATTATTTATGGGAATTCACTTACATACCTTGTACGTAGTAAAATTCTTAGGAATTGAGTTTGGGATGTTTAATTTGATTGATATTAAGGAACTTGAACTTCCCATGTAATAATATCAATAGCTTTATATTAAATTGATGTTAACTTATAATTTAATATTATCAACTAATTTTTTTCATAGAATATTTAAGTATGTAATGTAATTATCAACTACTGTACTATACTCTCTTTTGTTTGAATAAATCTAAAAAGTAAATAACTCAATAAAAAAATATATATTAAAAAAAAAAAGAAAAAAAAAAGAAGCTGAGCAACGTTTTTTACGTTTTTTTTTAAATCGAGCAAATGTTTAAAACTCCGGATTATGGACCAAAATAAATTGAATTGGACGTTTTTCATAAATAGGACACGAATAAATGATTTAATGACACGAATAAATGATTTAATGACACGAAATGAATTATTATAAGGACACAAAATGAATGATTTTAAGGACATAAAATGAATTATTTTGGATTAATCAATGACGTGAAAGGTACTCATCACTGGGTTTGGTTTTTGAGAAAACATAATCAGGTGTCTACACTCTTTAACCTCTATATCAACGATTCAACGCATGAAATGATGAACATAAATACCTTTTCAAGACTGTTAACAAAAATTAATTACCCACGTACGAGAACGAAGATTGAATTGAAGTTTGCACAAAAAAAAAAAAAAAAAAGATCTGCAAGTCTACAGCTTAAGGAGAGATAATGGTTTAGCAAAAAAAGATATCTTTACTTTAATTGCTAATTAATGGAGCTTATAAATCACAGGAACTCTGACTTACCTAAGGGGGTGGTGGTAAGTAACTTCCCACAATCTATGGGAATTTCTAATTTTTGGGAATTCTGACTTTCCCCATTTTCTCAGTTTTATGCCAACCAAACAACAACCTATGCTACCAATTCCTGGGAATTCTGATTGCCTCCACTATTTCCTACCAACCAAACAAGTCCTTAATTTCTTTTTCCATATTAATAGTTGTTGTTGTTCCGTTCAAATCATTTATAAAGGTATGTGTTATGTTTTATTTGTTTTATACAATAGATGACAAAAGCTAACGAACGCCCCAGGGTATTGGATAAGATAACTAAAAGTACAAACATTTAAATAAAATGAACATTAGTTACATCGATCGACACATGATTTTGACATGCATTCCCAAATAAATACCACTTTATATTATGAAGTATTTTAAATGCTTATCTAACGCTCCGGTAGCATTCGTTGTATGCAGCAAGATCCATTATAGAAATATAAATGTTTAATAATATTAGTTTCTGTATAACTATTATAATAAATTTCTTACTCTACACATGGATAAATCCAGACTTTCTTGCTTCACCATTAATGGAGAAGGCTCACAAGCAACTCAAGAATAGAAATCATATATAACTTCAATGGAGAAATCAACGAAAAATGGAAAGGTCACCTACCCTTTAGTGTTAATCTCGTCCTTTATTTAATTATGTTTTTTCTTAGGGTTTTTCGTTTACTTCAATGGGAACTAGATAGTGGAGTTAGCATCATTGTTGGTGAAATCTCAATTGAGGAAGGAGACAATGCTGAGTGGGGATTGGAGGAAGAAGTAGATGAAGATGAAGGTGGGGTGAGTTGGTGAAGGAAGGAGGAGGAAGAAGATGACGATGAATGAAGAAGATGAGGAAATGAGGAGTAAGAAGGAGATGATGATGAACGTGGGTGGATTGTATTTTTTTCTTTTCTTTTTTGACAACAACAAAAGAGAAAGATAAACTACATAACAAAGCTATTTAAATTAGTTCTTTACCCATTAGCAATTAAGTGTGCCTTGGGAACTTGGTCCCTATAAACCTTCCAAACCACGTAAGTCTGTAAACCACTTCGCCTTCCTGTGGATGTCCCGAATTGTCCATTATATATCAATGTTTGGAACCTGCTGCTGGCTTAGAATGTTAACTAGAATAGCAGAATATGTGAACAAAATGATCTTTTGCATGTTCTTGGTGCGAGCCCATCTAATTGCCATTAGACGAGCTAGAACTTCCGCATGAATGACAATAGTGCCCACAACCCTCCTGGAAAACATCATCATCCAACGCTAGACTCCAACCCAACCCTGTCGTATTGCATGTGTGCTTCTGCCAAGACCCATCTATAATGAATAAGAAGGAGATGAAGGAAGGAGGACTTATTTACTAAAATGCATTTTATTTATTGCATAAATGACCCTTTTAACTTACTTATCCAGGTGATTGACCTAGTTAGGCTCATGCTTTTGAGAAAAGAAAGATTTTTCGAACTCTTGTTTACTGTTTTTTTTAATCATATATAACACACTAATTTTCATTGATTAAAGCCATATGACATATATATATAATGGATCTTGCTAACGAGCGTCCCGAGGCGTTAGATAAGGATAAATTATATTTGTTGAAATGGTATTAAGTTAGGAATTCATGACAAGATCATGCGTCATTCGGTGTAATTAATGTTAATTTTACTCTAATATTAGCACTTTAATTTTCTTATCTTACGCCCCAGGGGCGCTCATTAGCTTTTGCCATATACAATAGACGATTAATGACTCTTATTATTTAAAAATAACAGTAAAAACATGGACATATATAAATATTGTACAAAAATAATAATATAATTATATAAACATAACAATCACGAGGTATGGTCATAGCGTTTGAGCTATATGTTTATTATGAAGTGTTTCACTCAAAAAAAAGTGTTTCACTCCATATGAGTTATTTTTTTGCTCATAAGGACCATGCCACTCTACTGGTTAATTAATGCAGACAACTTGCTTTACTTAATCAAGTTGAAAACCTTGACCAAAATTTGCTAATTAATTTCATATTATCCCCGTTTCTAAAAGTATGACCCACCTACTCTTAATTTGCTTAATGTGAAATAACGTTGATCGTATTTAGTTGATCAAATTTAATACTTTGGTAAGAAGAATCTTATTAGATTTGTATCGATCAATATCAAATTATCAATTTTTGAAATTTCAACTTTTCATAATGTCAGTGATATGAAATATATCGTCGAAGATATTAATTAATGTTCAAACATGCACATTGTATATACAAAAACCAATTTAATAGAATTCATGCCGTTCCTAATTTTCTTCCATAAGACAGACGACGATGGTGGATGTCGAGGAAGAGCCGAGGCGGTAGGTCGGTAGCCACGTTGACCTTGGAGACCAAGAGACGTGCGGGCAAGTTTTCCTCCCTCCACACACCATATTTTATATTCCCCCTAATCCCCTATTCATTGATTACTTAATTAGTGGTAATGAGGTATAGCAAGAGACGTAAACGGTAAACATTGAGTCTCTTATAATTCAAAAAAATCCTCAAATAAAAAAAAAAAACTTCCATCTTTTAATTTCAACTCTAATTAATTTCCCCACTTTCCCTAAATTTCCTCTTTCTTTGCATTATTATCCGATCATCACACATAAAATTAAAACTAATTCAACTTTCACTTTCTCTCTCTGGAACCTTCTTCTGTACGGAAACTCATCTTCTCCAACCAAAGGGGCAAAGAACCCTAATCTATCTTTTCTACTTAAATTATGATCGAACTTTGTTTTTAGTATGATTCGATTGTAAACTACTTCATTTTTCTTAATTTTCAGTTTTTTTTTAAAGGTTTGAATTGATTGATTTGTCTCTTTCTTTTTTCAATCGTAAATATTGTAAATTTGTTCATATTACTTCGAATAATCTCTTCATTTCTTTGTTTTTTTGTCAAATAATAACTTCTTTTTCAATCCATCAATTTCAGTGTTTTTATGAAAATTGTGCTTGGTTTGATTGATTAGGGTTTGGTTAATTTTTCAAAAATTGCTGGGTTTTCCAAAAATGGGGAATTTGTGAATTTTTCTGGGCTTCAAAATTAGGCAAGAACATGAACTTTTGAATTAATCTGGAGGAAATCATCCCCAATTTATAATCATATTACTTCTGGGCGTTGCTCTGTCTCCTCTTTTACTGAGAGGGCTGGTTGATGAGGAATGAAGGGAGAAAAGCTCGTGGAGGAGTGGCAGCTGCTGCTTCTTCATCGGGCCGGCCCAATGGGATCATCCCGAGCTCGTTCCGGGCGCTTTCGAGTTATCTGAGGATCGTATCGTCCGGTGCTTCAACCGTTGCGTCCACTGTCCGGTCAGCGGCTTCGTCGATTGTGGTGGATAGAGATGATGATGCTCGCCATGATCAGGTACATGTTTCAGTGTGCCCGGGTTTTATGCTGTAACTTGCAATTTGAAATTATGATTCATTTTATAGTTATTGCTTGAAAATTATACCATCAGTTGAAAGTAATGCATATCTGTTGTGTTTGGAATTTAGTTCAATCATCAATGTGTATAGGGCAATTGAAACAAGAGTATATGATAAATCGGGATGTTTCTGTTAGTCTTCATGTTCTGTGAATTATGAGAAGAAGATGGTAATGAATTGTGGTTGAAAGCTGTGTTCTTGTTGCATTGACGAGGTTTTTTGTCCAATTTTAGTGATATAAGGCCAGACTTGGATAATTGGAGTTAGAAACTTAGAATCATATTTTCAACTTGACTAGACTTGGGGCTGAAAGAGTGAAAGATACTTTACTAACAGCTATAACTGGATTACACAATCTGCTGCTGCTTTTGTGTTTTGCAGCATGCCAGCATATCAATTTGATGGGTTGTAGGGTATGCAACGGTTTGTTGTTTTTGAGTGGAACCATTTTATTGGGGCTGTTATTCATGGTGGTACTACATGCTTGTCAAGTGAGTAATCGTTTGGTTAATGGTAATATAAATGGATCCATTTAGTGCTTTTTGGTGGCTGCTGTCGTAAGTTGAAGAACAAGGTTCCATAGGTCTAATTTAGCAACATAATATTATGGGATTGTATTATTGGATGGTTGGTTTGTGGCAATGGATAGTTGGATACAAGATTCTGTCACTCGGAGTACTTTTGAGGACTGTCCAAACTTTAGCCTTTTTTGTTAACTGTGTGATGTAGTCTGCTGATAAATGGGATGGTGCATTTGGAGTTGCATAGTTGCTAATTTGCTTGACTGAAAGTCTATGGTGGTTGAGTATGAATAAGTTCTTAAAACAGTAACACTAGTTAGGCTTACTTAGTCTTTTAAGTTGGATTTCAAATGTAAAACCAGTCAGTGATTATTTAATGATTTATGTTACAATACTCTTTTAGTCTTTTGTACCTTTATTTTACTTTTGAAGACAAGTATTTGGAGCAGAGCTTTTCACTTTCTGTGTGATGCTTGAGGTCATTTCTGCTCGCTAACCTTTCTAGCAAGCAATTGCCACACTATTGGTTCATAGCATGGTGATTGAAATAATTTCTGTTAAATTACTGGTATTTGGTTATCACTCATGCCTCAATGGGAGAAATGTTGGTACAATAATTGGTTGAGCTGTCTCCAAAGATTTTTCCGTTGGAGACTTATATTGTGGATCTCTGATGTGTAAAAACATAGGCATTATGTTTACGTAGTAATTGTCTATGATTATGAATACGGTGGTTGATGAAAATATCTTTGCTTATGTTATTTAGGTAGATGCATTAAAGAAATAATGTATGCAATGAAGGATTGACTTGTGCAGAATAGGACTTCATGGACTTTGTATGTTCTTGATACCCTTAGACTCTCTAGAGGCTTGATGGCGAATAACTATTTCTACTTAGTTCATGGGAATTATTATCATATTTTGCTGGGTTTTGTTTCCGCACTTTTCTTTTATGTAGATTCTTATCCTATATGAAGTGGTGAAAATGCCCTTTGGGGTTTCAAACTCTTCATATGGCTAGGGCTAGGGCTAGGGTTGAGATGTGTGCGATAAGAACATGTGTATTACGAGAGTTCAATACATAATGGATTATTAAAGACTTGTACACATTATATATACATGTAAAGGAGCCAACGGCTCCATAATTCCTTATATTTTTGTCTCGGGGATGGTCGAGATCCCTCTCATTTATTGAAAATTTAATTAACTCCTTGTTCTTCTACTTTCTTGTAGAAACAATTATGGGGCCCCTTTATCTCACGGAAGAGGAAATTTGCTATAATAATACTCCCTCTGTTTTCTTTTGATATACCCATTTGCTTTTTCACACTTTTCAATGCACTGCTTTAATTGTCAATATCTCCTATTCCGTATCATCAAAATTTATTTAAAGTTTTTGAAATCATTGATAACATTTATCAAGATCCCGGATGACTATGTTTTTCGTTGTATGTTAGGGAGTATGAAGTTTCAACTATGTGTGGTATATGATATGGAGTACTTCGTATGAACCTTGGGAGTTTGCCATCCAAGATACAAACTCGGGGTCATTTATAGATAATGACATGGGTATTATGGTGTTGCCGGAGGCGGATTGCAAATATTCCATCTTCATTGAGTCTCCACGTATATTCTGTCAGAAATTAAGAATCAATAATAAAAATTCTATAAATGAAAAAAACTTCATTTTTTTAAATAAAATAATGAAGAAAGAAAGAATCCCCCCCCCACCCACCCAAAAAAAAAAAAAAAAAACCTCTTCTTTCTTTTCCCTTATCCTTTCCCATTGACTTGTCATTTTTCGTTGCCCCAGATTCACTACCCCTAAGGCCCTTGATCAGCTGCTTAGCCCTTTGCAGCTGGAGGCAGTGATTAGTGTTTTTTTAGCAAAAGTTTAAAGGTGCTTTTAGCTTGAATTGAATCACTCTGAAGGGGTTGAATAAGAGTTTAATGATTTTTTTTTTCTTGGAACGCTTAAATGAGTGGGTTGTTGATGGACATGCTGGACCTGATGGCTTTTAAATTTTGTTATTTGTATATTTTTCACTCAATTCATGCGCCCTCTTTTCTCTTTATTATGCTGCCCTGATATTTTGTTTAAATTTTGTTATTTGTATATTTTTCACTCATTCATGCACTCTCTCTTTCTCTTTATTATGCTGCCCTTATTTTGTTAGACATTAACTTTGAATTAAAGGTCGCTCTTTGTCCATCATATCAATCCTTAGATCCACCTATTATCTTTTTGCAAGTCTTGCAATTGACTTTAGAAATTGAGTCCCACTTTTTTTTTTTTTTTTTTTTTTTTTTTTTTTTTTTTTTATCTCTATTAAGCAGTGGCAGACTTTCTGCGTATATCTCCTAAATGTGTTATGACATGAGCCGGATCCATTTTCTTCGGTTGAGACATTATTTGGACTTTTTGGAGTGTTTTACACAATATCATATACATACAATTTTCCTTTAACTAATTTTATTGTTGGGCCTTTAGACCTCAAATCTGTGTCACTAGATTTCATATGGGGCGCTGTTTCATTGTGTGCATGTGGTAATCATCTTGTGATTGTTTTGCTTACTATTTTTTTTTCCTTCTTCTATCTCTTGCACTTTCTGTATTAAACATAATTTCTGCAGAATAGATATTTTTTAACCATTCATTATGTTTCCTGATTGCTAGAGAACACTCCCCTGTTCAAGAATAATTTACACATTTGACATGTTTTTCATTATTTATATACTAACTTTGACAATAGTTTTTAGTAACGTATGAGAACAAATTTTATCATAAAATGTGTTGTTTAATAGGTATAAAGTTTCATAAAATATAATGTTTCATAATATTAACTTTTCATTTTTTTTTTCTTAATTCTAATACTTCGTATTTAATTATATATATCTAAATCAAACTAGTGCATGTATTTCAAAAAAAAAAAAAAAAAAACACTAGTGCATTGGCATGTACCAAGTTTGACTGTGTTAATTATTATGGGATGGAGGTAGTGGATGAATTGAGCCATTATTCTAACATTGTTAGTTGTCTCTTTACGCAACATGGCTGTACACATTTCATATAAGAGGTTCAGGATATCAAGATGTTTTCTTCATTTCTTCCTCCCCCATTGTAAATGTATATCATACTAATGTGTCTTTCAATCAAGAATCTCTTAAACATCACTACATCTACCTGCTTGTGGTTTGTTATCTGAATTCTTGTAGTAACTTGATTAATGTTTACCCAAATGAAGGTGCTTTGGGCTGGGTTTGACAAGTTGGAATTTGAGGGAGACAATGTACGGCAGGTTCTGCTGTTGGGTTATCGATCTGGTTTTCAGGTATGGGATGTGGAGGAAGCTCACAATGTTCATGACTTGGTGTCCAAACATGATGGTCCCGTTTCATTTTTGCAAATGCTGCCAAAACCATTGCCAACTATGGCATCTGAAGATAAATTTTCTGACAGTCGTCCTCTGCTGGTAGTGTATACAGATGGATCTCGTCTTCTGGATGGGAAAATTGCTCCGTGCAATGGAAGCATTTCCAATGGCAGTGTTCCTGGGAATGGCCTCTATGGCCCTTCTAGTATTCGATTTTATTCATTAACTTCCCAGTCTTATGTACATAGTTTAAAGTTTAGATCAGCTGTTTATTCTGTTAGGTGCAGTCCTCGGGTCGTAGCTGTTTCGCAGGCAGCTCAGGTAATTATGTGTTATATTTTGAGATTTTCTTAGTTTTGTAGAAGTTAGTGCAGAAGATAATATTCTATAATATTAGGTGCACTGTTTTAATGCTGCTACCTTGGAGAGGGAATATACCATCCTTACAAATCCTGTTGTGACTGGCTGCCCTGGTTCTGGTGGCATAGGATATGGTCCACTTGCATTGGGTCCTAGGTGGCTGGCGTACAGTGGTAATCCAATAGATGTTTCAACTGCAGGTCGTGTCAGTCCACAGCATCTTACACCTTCAGCAACTTTTTCCAGTTCAGAATCAAATGGTAATCGTGTGGCTCAATATGCAGTGGACTCCAGTAAGCATCTGGCTGCAGGAATTGTGACACTGGGGGATATGGGTTATAAAAAGCTGTCTCGTTATTGCTCTGAGCTATTGCCTGATTCTAATCACTCAGTTCAATCTGGAGTTACTGGAAGCAAAGTCAACGGCGCTGTTAATGGGCATAATGGTCACCTGCCTGACGTAGATAGTGTTGGAATGGTATGTATATTTCACCGTCATAATTGCTTGTCTTGATTTTATATTTCTGCATTGCAAATTTGCTTTTAAAATCTCCTTGAAATTGGGATTGGTTATTGAGATTGCTAGTCTTTGTCTTTGTCTTTGTGTTTTTGTTTTTATTTATGTTTTGTTTCTTCAATCTGATTCCAATTATAAAATGTTTCCTGGCTGGCTGACTCATATGTTTCATCATTCTTCATTGATATTTATGGGCATGTTTGGTTTGTAATCATTTGGATCATTGTGCTATATAATAGTTTAAACCCATTTTTTCTTCAGGTCATTGTTAAAGATGTCGTCAGTAAAAATGTGATCACTCAGTTTAGAGCACACAAAAGCCCTATTGCTTCATTATGTTTTGATCCCAGTGGGACTTTGTTGGTGACAGCTTCAGTTCAAGGCCATAACATCAATGTTTTCCGCATTATGCCTGGACATCCTGCATCGGATGCCTATGGATCCTATGTTCATCTTTACAGACTGCAGCGCGGCCTTACCAATGCGGTGAGGCTACTATTCTATCATTGCTCACTAGCCCTTCTTGCCAAAGTGTCTTCCTTGCTGATGATTATACTCCACTTCTCCTTTTTTGTAGGTTATACAGGATATAACTTTCAGTGATGACAGCCGCTGGATCATGATAAGTTCATCTAGGGGCACAAACCATCTCTTTGCTATCTCCCCTTTTGGTGGTACTGTGGATCTTCAATTTGCAGATACTAATGTTGAAAGTAATGGATTTAGTGTTGCAAGCAGTACAGTTGTTCCATGGCAACCTCAACCTGCTGGTTTAATGTTAAATCAGAACAATCTTTTTGCATCTGGTCCACCTATAACCCTGTCTGTTGTTAGCAGGATAAGAAATGGAAATAATGGTTGGAAAGGCACTGTTAATGGTGCTGCAGCTGTTGCAACAGGCAAGAATAGTTCTCTATCTGGTGCTGTTGCTGCTGCTTTCCATCTATGCCGAGGCAATGACATGCATCTTAATGAATTTGCTATGAAGTCTAAGTACCACATGCTGGTTTTCTCTCCTTCTGGTAGTTTGATACAATATGCACTTCGAGTTCCTCTTGCGCAAGATGCATTAGCTGCTGTTTCTGGAGTTAATTTTGCCTATGGATCGGCTCCAGGCAATGATTCAAAATTAATGGTCGAGCCTACTCAGAAATGGAATATTTGTCAGAAACGAAGGGAAAGAGAAGAGAACTTTGATATCTATGGTGAAAATGGTATATCAGAGTCCTCTAAAATACATAGCGAAGGGACTAGAAATGAATATGGTACTAGATCAAAGCTAAGTGTTGAAGAAAGAAATCAACTTTACATTTCCGAAGCTGAACTGCAGATGCATGATCAGCAGGTCCCACTTTGGGCAAAATCTCAGGTATTTTATGGCATCTATCTATACTCATAATGAGAATTTTGTACAGATGAGATGTCTTACGCATTTCATCTAATTGTTACAGATTTACTTTCAATCAATGATGGATGATGCCATTAAGATAGACAATGAAAATGCTGGAGGGGAAATGGAGATTGAAAACATTCCTCTACGCACGATCGAATCTAGGTCCAAGAATTTGGTTCCTGTTTTTGATTATCTGGACAATCCCAAAACTCAACTGGCAAGGTAATCTCCCTGTCTCTGTATTTTTTCTATTGGAAGGCAGGAATTTAATGTTGCTAATTGTATTATTGACTTTGCGTTAGCATGTCTATTTTTGCAAGTTTCTATGTTACAATTCTGTGATGCTTTCTGTTAATGGACTGGTGGGGGAATTAATCTAATGTATAGACTAAAATTCCAATGAACTACCATACCTGATGTCCTGATGATATAAGAGAGAAAGCATCTGATGTTCATGTTGCTCACGTGTTATAATAATTTTTTATTTTCTTGCTTTGTGTCTTTTAGGTATAATCTTTCTCACATGTTCTAATTAGTGCTTCTTTGTTCAGAGTTTCTGCTGCAGATAGCAAGATTGAAGCAGGGCAGCTGCCTCAAAATGGGAATATTCTAAATGGGGTTAGGCCTTATGCTTTGGGGTTGACTGAAAATGGTGTTGAAAACCATCGCGGTGTTGGAGAAAACAAGTATGGTATACTGAAGCCTGCAGATGATGCAATGGGCTATGTAAATACTAATGACAGCCCTAAACGAAAGTCATCTGAGCTTCAGTCTGTAAATAATAGAGATAGAGAACACTTGAAAATGGATGACTCATCCCAAGCTTGTAAATAAATTACAGCGAAGCCTTGAAAATGGAGAATCAGTTTGAAGGCAAAGATTTGAAAGTTTGATTGAGGTAAGGATATTAGTGGTTGTTACACTTTTGTGAAGAGATTGCATATTTTTCCAAGTTTTGACAATTACTGAATAGAAACATCCAGTGTCGAAATCAAAATGACATAAATAGCTTATGAGATGTGAAGGGCTAAAGGCCGTGCAATGATGGTTTGGAAGCAGTGAAAGGATTTTTTCTTTTTTTAGGGAGTGGGGAGAGGGTAAAAGGAAATTAGCAATATTATTGTCTCTATTTTTCTTTTCCTGTATTTCAGCTATGTTTTATATTGGACGACACTAAACCAGTTTCCTTAATCTTCTACAGGATGCGGCTATTCTTTTATTCTCAAGGTGTGTGATAAGTTCGTGTTTATATTTACCGTGATATCTGTAGAGGACTAAGACATGACATTGTGATTATTCCAGGGCCTGGAACTTTGTTAATATTGTGGTGTTGGGCGGTTTCCTTCACATTGGATTTGTACATAATAGTCGTTCTTGTCAATAATCTATACTGTGTACATAATAGCTACTTAACACTGTCTCCAATTTTCGTCATTATATTTATTTATTTTGATCTGATTCTCGGAGCAGTCATATTCTTTATTTATATTTCTCCGATTTATCAGAGCAGTCATTTTCCATGGTTAGAAAAATTAGAATTTGTTGCAAAGTAACTCACCATAATGAAATTGAGAAGTCTCTTATTGTGGTTGGTTTGTGATGGAACATTTCTTTATTTTTGTATGCTTCTATTGTTGCTTGATATGATGAATTGATATGTTTGGTCTTTTTGGATTTCCAACCGAATCTCTGTTACTTTTTTTAGAAACATGTGGTGTTGGTTGAACGCAGTTTTTTCAAAAACAAAATACTGTAAATATTCTGCTATATTACTACAGTACATTTTTAAAAAAGTGTTATTTTTTTTTTCCTTCTTGCTGATATTTAGAAACTGAAAAGCTTTTCTGTCTAGTCATTCAGTAGATAATTTTGGGTGTCGTTTCAATTTGTATGTATTTGAACAGGTTCAGAGTAATGTAGCCCAGAGCAAACACAAGTAGGTTCTTGGATGTTCTTAATCACATTAAAGGACGGAGTAATTATTAGAGATATGAGATATAATCAATTTATTTTCCGATATTGGTTATATCTCATGCTTTCAAAAAAATAAATAAAAATATTGGTTGTATCTCATATCTCTAGCAGTAATGAAGTATATTCTTTATGAAAGTATGAAGTATATACACGCGCCTCGGTCTTAGTTGCTTCTGGGAAAAGGATTAGTTGTGCAGGATGCAACTACTTCCAGAGTTCCAGATGCATATACAGATTATACTATGATTACTATTCCGTATATTATAGTGCATAACATAACTTTGTTTAAGACTATAACATAACTATAGAAAGATCCGTATTAGAAATAGAAATGGAAGATGATTCTCTTGTACTCTTGAGTAGGCATATTTTATTCTCTGTCACCAATGTATAATGACGTTACATTACAAGCAGCAAACAAGAATATTATTACTTGTATTTTTCTAGTTTTGAATCATGAAAACATATTAATTAATAAGTAACTTTTTCTCCTATCAATTCAATAAAATAAATGTACTTTTTTCCAAATATGCATAATTAAAATACCAAACAATTCATAGCATTTCTTTTTAAAGGCTAAGAAAAAATTATAATTTCCTAACAATAAAATACCATATATTTTAATACATGGAATACTGCATCATATTTTAGATAATATTTTCCTCAAAATTGTAATTAAAATAAAATAGCACATAGAATTAAGTGTCATTTTCCTTGTAGAAACTCTGTTTCTGTCAAAGAAGTCGAATTTACGATGAAAATATAAAAGAATCCTTTAATAGCATGCTTCCACATAAACCCATAGCATATATTCTGAAGAAAATGTAGAGTTTAAGAAAAGCAAATAACCAAACAGCTCCTTCTCATCTGCTTCTTGTTTTAGTTTTACCATTTTTTCACCTTATAATAATAATAATATTAAGACCCAAAAAAATGTGTGACATAATTTTATGTAAGTCCAATGTCTTAATCTTTCAAACAACTCTTATGTCAACTTCATAAACTATGGTCAAATATTCAAATATTACACTATATGTTATAAGCACAATTATATAAGATGCCTATTTGCTAAGCAAAGTTAGGTGATTGATAGGAACTTTGAACTACAACCCCATGAACTTTCCTTTACACAATTCCTATGTTTTTACATTCCATTGCATTACATTACATACTCCCATTTTTGAGTCATTCCTACATGACTATTAGCAAGTAGAAAACATCAAATTAAGTCTTTTCGGCGCGTTTAGCTTGTTAAGCTTTTATTAGCTTGGGTTAAACTATTTTTGGGATAAACTATCTTGTATCATTTTGGTTAAGGTAATACTACAATTACAATGCAGCTTCATATTTCGCCGAGTTTAAGGCATGTAACTGTATTTCCGGGCAAAGGAGTCAGAGAATTCATCAAAATAAAAGCTGGTTCAAGGCGGTTTTCGTATAGGATGGTGTTGTACTCGCTCTTGTTTTTTACATTCTTGTTGCGTTTTGTGTTTGTGATGACCGCGGTAGAAACAATTGATGGCCAAAGAAAATGTTCTTCTATAGGTAATTCATCTTTTCTTCCTTCTTGAAATTGTATTTTATTAAGAGAAGTCTTATTCATTTGTGTATATCTTTAGTTTAGAATTTGTTGAGTGTATGTTGCTTTGCATACTTACAAAGGAAACATTGCTCGAAACATATATCAAATGGGAGCGTTTTACCATTGCTCGAAACATGAGCGTTTTACCATTGCTCGAAACATGTATAGACCAATTATTTTGGTTGCTTTGCACCTAACTACCTAAGTTTTATACATTTATGCACTTTAAGTCCTAAAAAACAAGCTCAACAAACATGAATTTATATCAGAGTACTTGTAGGCTATTAGATGAAGATTTTAGTCACTCTTCTTTCAGCTATTTTTAGTCTTAAAAACGGTGTATGATCAAATACTAAACATGTTTCAATGATTCAGGTTGCTTGGGAAAAAGATTGGCACCAAAAATTCTAGGAACTTCTCCTTCAAGTGTAAATTCCTTGACTTTTTTCGAAATTCTGTGTGACTGTATCCTAATCAGTAGGTGAAGTTCTTCCTAAACTTTTTAACATTAAGCGATTATATTTATCTTATACTTATTACAGGTCCCAGAAGTCTTATATGACGTATTTGAAGAACCAAGTAGTCTTGTAGATGAAAAAAATCCGGGACCTGATATTCCTCAGTCACTGGAAGACTTTATGGCTGAAGTAAGAGAGAGCAGACCGGATGCCAGAACGTTTGCACTGAAGCTAAAAACAATGGTAGATCATAGCATATGTCTAGTCAAATAAACGCGCATAATTTCCCTTCAAAAACATTCTGATTTATCAGGGGAAACAGTATAAATAAGCATGCATTTCCTTTTACAGGTGAATTATCTTGAACAAAGGACGCGAACAGCTAAGATTCAAGAATACCTATACCGGCATGTAGCATCTAGTAGCATACCAAAACAACTCTACTGCCTGACATTAAGGCTAGCCAATGAGCACAGCATGAATTCAGCTGCTCGTATGCAGCTTCCAAATCCTGAGCAAGTCCCTTACCTCGTTGACAACTCGTTCTTCCACTTTGTTCTGGCCTCTGACAATGTTTTAGCTGCATCAGTTGTGGCCAACTCTCTTGTTCGTAATTCTCTCCACCCTGAGAGGGTTATTTTGCACATCATCACCGATAAAAAGACCTTTGCACCTATGCAGGCTTGGTTTTCCTTACATCCTCTGACACCTGCTGTCATTGAGGTCAAGGCATTGCACCAGTTTGAGTGGATTAGTAAAGGAAAAGTGCCTGTTTTGGAGGCCATGGAAAAGGATCAAATGGCTAGATCACAATTTAGAGGCGGATCCCAAGCAATTGTGGCTAGTGATTCTGAAAGGCCTAATGTTATTGCTGCTAAGCTTCAGGCTATGAGTCCCAAATATAACTCCATCATGAATCACATCAGAATTCATCTCCCAGAGGTATAGTCAATTTGTTTAATAGAAATCGGCTTTATATGATACTAAACTACAGATGATATGTGGAATATAATCCTTACCAGAGAAACTGTTCCCTGATAAAAGAGTTGAAAAATTAGCCATTGGTGCATAATTATATGATAGTCGGATTATTGTATAAGGTAAAAAAAATAAAAAAAAAATAAAAAAAAAATGTTCTTCTGTAGGTCTGTTAGAGACAGTATCTCTATTGGTAAGACTGATTAAGAGAAAGACTGAATTTTAGACCTCTCTAAATCCTGCCCACATGCTCTTTTTCATTTCTTTCTTTATATGATCCTAAACTATTGATAATATTCATTTCTTTCTTCATTTTACCATCCAAATTTATGTTAATTGTTCTTTGTTTCATGGTTTCAGTTGTTTCCAAGCCTGAATAAGGTTGTCTTCCTCGATGATGATATCGTGATACAAACTGATTTGTCACCCTTATGGGACATTGATATGGATGGAAAGGTCAATGGAGCAGTACAAACTTGCAGTGGGGATGATAGATTTGTAATGTCAAAGAAACTAAAGAACTACTTGAACTTCTCTCATCCTTTGATAGCGAATAATTTTCATCCAGAGGAATGTGCTTGGGCTTATGGCATGAACATTTTTGATTTAGAGGCTTGGAGGAAGTCTGACATTACTCAAACCTACTATCACTGGCTCCAACTGGTATATATTTCAGAAATATGATTTGTTAATAACATCAGTATTACTACATAATCTGCTAATATTATCTACTGATATGACTATTTTTGAAAACAGAACTTGAAATCAGACCTAAGTTTATGGCAGCTAGGAACATTACCACCGGGACTAATAGCATTCCATGGTCACGTTCAAATAATCGATCCCTTCTGGCATATGTTGGGTCTTGGATATCAAGAAAATACAAGTCTGGCAGATGCTGAAAATGCTGGTGTTATTCATTTTAATGGGAGGGCAAAGCCCTGGCTTGATATAGCTTTTCCACAGCTTAGGCCATTATGGGCTAAATATATCGACTTTTCTGATAAATTTATCAAAGGCTGTCATATCAGAGATTCATGAGAGTTTCTTTCAGAGGAGAATGAGGTGAATATTCTTGTACATGAGCTAGGGGCGCGCACAGAATTTTCGCCAATTCAAGGGGCCTTATAGAGCAAAATGCAAAATGTGGAGGCAGAACAAGAAAGAAGCTATAATCATGTACTTTAACAGAAGCCTCCTTAGATTAGGAGTTTTCTTTTTTGTGTATTCTCTTATCTTATATTCTTTCAGTTCATAATATACTAATAATTTTGATGCATTTATTCAGAAAAAAATGGTAGAAATTGCAATCATAATCAGACACATCTAGCCTAATCAACTAGTCTTTTTTCCTGTTACATTGGAAACTAAATCCTTCAAGTATTTAGCTGTCTTAGTGATGGGTGAATTCACTGCCATCAGATTGTACAAAACATACTCTACTTCAGTAATCGAAGGCCGGGATTTGAATCTTGAAACCACCTTCAATTGACTTGCATCACCTTCTTCTTCCACCAACACATTCCATTTCTCCCCACTCACAACGCCGTCTCTAACACACTTGAAAACCACTCCTTTTCTCTTACTCAAAAGCCCTCTAACTTCCAATCCTAGGAATGCATAAAGCACATCAAACGAAGCTACAAAGGCGCTTAAATCACCAAAGCTTTCTTCTTCCTCGAATGCCCATTTCGGGTTAAACAACACCAAAGGGCTTGGGTACAAACTGTCACTAACTAACTTCATAACTGCCAACTGTGAAGAATTTGGCGCCAAAAATACTGCCACATCAGCAGAATTCAAAATTCTGTTATTAACTGTCATAGCAGAACTAATTTCAATATGCTCAAAAAAACCAAATGGAAGGCCTTGAAAAACTGTTATTCCACTAGCCATTGAAGTGGGATTAGGCCAAACAAGTAAGACTCGAACCGGTGAGCTTTTTTTCTTGATTGAGAGGTCCTTAAAAACGTCGAAAGCGAGCTGGGTGAGTGACTCAGGGGAGTCATCAATCAAAGGTATTTCCACCCTGAATCTTGGTTGTTTTTCTTTTTTGATTTTGCCAGTGAGTTTGGGACTGTTAAGAGGCTTTTGTAAGGCGGTCGAAAGGCTACTTTTGGCTTGAAGAATAGCTTCTTCTTTGGTAATTGGAGGTGAAGGGAAAGAAGTGTCAGAGACTGAACATTGAATGGACAAATTTTGGTGTTTTGGTGTGTTCAGAGGTTTCCTAGGCAAAAATGTTTGTAAGGAAAGATGATTAGGGCGGTTTGAAAAGGAAGGAAGAGAATGAGATTCGATTTTCGATTGCGAAAATGGAAGAGGAGAGCCTGTAAACTTTGTTGTCTGAATAGGGAGTTTGAGCAGATTGGTAGCCATTGGAGATTATATATGATATTCAAGGGTTTGTTATTATGAATATGATCATATGAAAGTGCAGCAAATATATATAGAGGATAAGGTGGAGTGATAATCTTAGCCTCACATTTTATCCTTGATTTTCTGGGCCTTTTTTTATAACAATTTGTGCCTATTAATACATTATTGAATTTGGACTATAAGAAAAGTTCTAGCCCATGGTACATTTTTTAAGGAGAAAAATAAGCTCATTCCCTTGGTAGTTTAAAATTTTTTATACTACCTCCGGTCCAAATTACTCGCAACTTTGGGGTATTATTTGTGAGATATAAAATATTCCAAAGTTGCGAGTAATTTGGACCGGAGGTAGTAGGAATTTTAATAATAATGTTCTCCGTTTTTTTTTTTAAAAAAGTCCCTAAAATTAAACATTTTTTTTTCATATATGAAAATAGTTGTTACAACATCTCGTCACTTAATTATGAGAAGTCCATGTGTTTGGTATGTCATACTTGTATACAAAAATTATTTTTACATCTCATATTGGGTAATTCTCATATTCAATAATAACATCAATACTTCATATAAAGATAATATTAATTATAATGAAGTAGCAAAGTAGTACCCCTCAAAAAAAAGTAGCAAAGTAGTAAATAAAAATGAAACACTGGACTACTCCCTCTATTACTAGTATAAAAATATATAGATTTTACTAGTATAAAAATATAGGTATTGAATATTGATGGTCAAATTGTTGCAATTACAAGATTACATGTATGTGCGCACGCAAAGTCGCACACTTGTGTATATAAGTTATAGGTATCATCCTTACCATTTAAATTAAGTTAGTTAACATATTATGGGTCTGTTCGACATTAGCTTTTAACGTAGCTGTTAGCTTTTAAACCTAGTCAAAACACAACCTTAAAATAATATTAGTGTTTGGTGAACTAGTGTTTTAAGTAGCTGCTAGAGGTAGAGGTAACTTTTAAGTAGCTGTTGTTGAAAGCTAGAAAAGATAGCTTTTGAAATTGTAAAGTAGCGTTCAACCTTTTTTTTTTTTTTTTTTTTTTTTTTTTTTTTTTTTTGTTTTTTATAATGAACTCTTCTTCTTCTTCTTCTTCTTCTTCTTCTTCTTCTTCTTCTTTTTATTTTTTTTATTTTTTTTATGTTTTTATGTTTTTGACTTAAGACGTGTTCGACGCTAGCTTTTGAGTAGCTTTTAGGTAGCTTTTAGTGGTTTGACCAAGTCAAACCACTACTCAACAAAAAATGTGAGTGTTTGGCAAAGTAATGGTTCTAGTAGCTTTTAGTGGTGAATGTAGCTTTTATTAAAAGCTAGGATTATTAGCTTTTGAAGTTAGAGGTACCTTTTGAAAATTTAATGTATAGTTTTAAAAATAAAATATTGATTCTTAAATGTAACAGCTAGTCAACCACTACTTTACCGAACAATCATACCTAAATTATCTTTTTTCACAGCTAACAGCTTGTTGACAGCTAACAGCTATCTCCACAGCTCACAGCTATCTCCACAACTACAGCTACCTTCACAGCTATATTTTGCCGAACATGCCCTTAGTGTTATTTGTTTCAGTCAACCATAATATCAAAATTTTCTATTCATATTTTTTTTTCCTTTCATTTTATGAGGAGTATTTTTTTCTATCTTATTTTTTAAACTGGTTATTTATTAGCAATAAATATTATACTATGTAATATTTAAAACTAGATGAAGCACGGGCGATGCACGGTTTGTTTGAATTTTTTAAAATATATATATATATATATATATACAAATTTTGTTATATATTTAGATAAAATTACTGATATCAAAAGATAATATTTTATATTTGATTAATTTAAACTGAAAAATCTCATTAATATTCGACAATTTTTCTTACGTGTCATTTAAGTTATTTAATTCTAAAAGAACTTAATAATCTCGCATTTAATTGGCTACCACTAAAATTTATTATCCTACATGGTGCGCTGAAAAAATTAAACCCTACGTGGCTCTCTAAAACCTGTGCGATGCACGGTTGTTTGATTTTTTTTTAAATAATTTTTTTTATATATATATTTATGCGCTAAAATTTGTTATATATTTAGATAAAATTCCTGATATCAAAAGATAATATTTTATATTTAATTAATTTAAATTGGAATATTTCATTCACCAATTTTGCTTACGTGTCATTTAAATTATTTAATTTTAAAAGAAATTAATAATCTCGTATTTAATTGGCTACCACTAAAATTTATTATCTTACGTGGCATGCTGAAAAAATTGAATCCTACGTGGCTCTCTAAAAACTCGGGAAAAAACTCCCCTTTATATATATATATATTAGATTATCAAACATTTGATACATAACACGTGTGCTCAGCACCTTCTGGATTGCTTGAGTGGTGCTGCGGTTGCTATTTCAGATGAGTTGGTGGGCTCTATTACGCAGGTGGTTAATCTCTTTCTCGCAAGAAATTGTCCTGCTGAGTTGGGGGAGTATATTGCTAGTGCTCCTCTCACGCCACTTGTTAAGCCTGGTGGTGGTATTCGTCCTATTGCTGTGGGTACTGTTTGGCGGCGTCTGGTTTCAAAGGTTGGGGCTGCTTTAGTTGGTCCGCGTATGGGGAACTATTTAGGAGGTCTTCAGTTTGGTGTTGGGGTGCCGGCGGGTGGCGAGGCTATTCTTCATGCTGTTAATCGTTTGGTTGAGGCTCGAGGTGGTGATGTTGGCCTCTCTATGTTGCTGGTGGATTTCCGGAATGCCTTTAATTTGGTTGATCGTACGGCTTTACTGCGTGAGGTTCGTCTCCGTTGTCCAGCTCTTTCGCGTTGGGTTGAATTCTGTTACTCTACTCCAGCCAGGCTCTATTATGGGGAGCATACCTTAAGGTCATGTCAGGGTGTGCAGCAGGGTGATCCACTTGGCCCTTTGCTTTTTGCTTTGGTGCTCCATCCGTTGGTTTGTCAAATTAGGGATTCTTTTGACTTATGTTTGCAGGCTTGGTATTTGGATGATGGTACTATTATTGGTGACACCTTGGTGGTAGGGAAGGTTATGGAGTTGATTTTGGTGGAGGGACCTCGTCTTGGTCTCCATGTTAACGTTGAGAAAACGGAAGTTTTCTGGCCCACGAAGGACCCTCGTAGCCGTCTGGCCGGTGTCTTTCCTCCAGATATTGCTCGTCCTGCTCATGGTGTTAAGTTGCTTGGGGGTCCTGTCAGTGCGGATGCCTCTTTCTGTGGTGAGCTTGTTTCGCAGAGGGTGTCGAAGACCATTGTGCTCATGGATGCTGTTGCTAAGCTTGAGGATCCCCAATGTGAGTTATTACTTCTTCGTGCGTGTACTGGAGTTTCAAAACTCTACTTTTCTATGCGCACTTGTCCTCCTCGTCTTTTTGAAGCGGCCCAGATTTCTTTTGATGTGGCCCTTCGAGGTTCTGTGGAGCGCATTGTAACTGCTTCGGGGCTAGGTTTTGGTGATTGGCAATGGCGCCTTGCCACCTTACCTTTTTCTTATGGAGGACTGGGTGTCTATTCAGCGGGTGATGTTCGACACTATGCTTTCCTTGCGTCGCGTTTGCAGTCTTCTGGTCTACAGGCTTCGCTTCTTTGCAATTCTGGTATTGTTGGTCCAGGTCCGGCCTTCGACGAAGCTCTTAGTCTTTTTAATAGGACTGTGGAGACTGACCTTTTGCGTTACCCTGGTGAGATCGCTGCCCCCAAACTCATGAAGAAATTGGCAGATATATATTTCACAAAGGTCACTGCATCTGCAGAATCCACTTTCTCCTTGTCTCCGCGTCAGGTTGCCTTATGGAAGTCCCAGCAGGGGGATTACTCTTCTGCCTGGTTGCGAGCGGTCCCGATATCAGGTCTGGGTCAGACTATGAATGGTAAGACTTACCGTTGTGTCCTTTGCTACCGGTTGGGTGTTCCCTTGTTCTCCGTATCGGCACCTTGTTTTGCTTGCTCAAGAGTTTTTGATGGGGATATTTATGGGGATCATGCAGTGTCTTGTGCTGGGATGGTGGGTATTAAACATCGGCATAACGTTGTTCGTGATACCCTTGTTGATATTTGTTTCCGCTCTGGGATTTCTGCAAGGAAGGAGGTGAACGTTGGGTTAACTGGAGGGAACGACGGGGCTCTTCGGCCAGCAGATGTGTTGCTTAACTCCTGGGATAGAGGCCTAGATGTATGTGTTGACTTGACGGGGTCCTCTCCATTGACTCAATCTGGGTTGTCTGACTTCGTTCCTGGTCGTGTTATGTCGGTTGCGGCTCAGCGGAAGTGAGACAAGTATGGGGCGCGTTGCAGGGCTATTGGATATGGTTTTCTTCCTTTCTCCTTTTCTTCATTGGGGGAATTAGAGAAGGATGCCGTTGCGTTGCTGAAACGGGTTCAGGCGTTCGCTAGGACTCAGGATATTGGAGCTCGTGCGGCTGCTCACATCTTTAACAGGATTGGGTTCGCTATAGCTAGAGGGGTGGGGGCCCAGATTGTATCTCGGCTCCCCACTAATTTCTTGTAAATCTTTTGACTTTGTAGGTTTTTGTTATTTAATAATAATAATAATAATAATAATAATAATAATAATAATAATAATAATAATAATAATAATGATTGTATTTTATAGTTTCAATCCCTACATTTACAGAACACTCATAGTATGAATCGCTACCTTAACAACTGACCTCTAACAGCTACTACTTGACAGCTCACAGCTACCTCTACAACTCATAGCTACTCAAAAGCTATAGCCAATAACTATAGCTAGTTTTGCCGAACAGACCCTATATCACTAATATATAAATCCGGTCTAGCAGCCAGGCCACGAGATGCGAGACATCGACACTTGGCATTTTAGTTTTCGCCAAGTGTTGAGCCATGTAAGCAACAAATAGGTATTATTGTGACACGTAGGATGTTAAGTAGGCGAATTTTGGATATATTTTTTGTGATAAAAATGTTGTATAGTGTTTTATTATCGATATACTTCTAATATTTCATATATACAAAATTAATTATAACTTTTAATAAATATCTTATAACTTATTACTATTTCCATC